TTTGACATAGATATTAAATTACAAGTATACACAGGCGGCGACAGGACCACGCGCAGAGACTTTTGTAGCAGTTGCCTGTTGCAAGATGTCTTTTTTTTTCTTTCTTGTCCGTTCCAATCCCCGATAATTTTCCTGAGTGGAAACTAGCCTTTAATTAATAAGCATGTTTAATTCGTAGCTGTTTATGCATAACCATAGTCATAGACGATCAACGACATTTAATGACGATATGCAGTACTACGAATGTCATGGAGCTTAGCCTAGTACACTATAACAGAAAACGCGCAAAAAATTTGAGTTTGAACTTGATAAAGGCTTTATAAGCGTAATAAGACATGCCCGTTTTGTCAGTAGGTTCTAACGTATTGGTTGTAGTAGGCATAGTTCGGCTCATACTAACTGCGTCATTCGTTCACTCGTTCGCTCAGACTTTGGTCTATTTGTACATGTTTAAATATGTAAACCAATCAGCTTTCGCGATTTCAATGATATTCGTTCGTTCTCGTTGTTCGGCGCAGGTTATAAACTAACAAGCAAATCCATTATCGTGTAACTGGGGCTTCATAATTATAATGTATATTTTGGATTTTGTATTGTGTAATGAATGAAAGGTTGTATAAATAAATCTATTTTTGTGAAGGAAACTTATCAATGAATTAGCAAATATAGTTGTGAAAAACTACCCGCAAAAAAAACTACCCGCAAAAAAACTACCCGCAAAAAACTACCCGCAAAAAACTACCCGCAAAAAAACTACCCGCAACCCGCAAAAAACTACCCGCAACCCGCAACCCGCATTTTCTACCAAACCAGTTGACATGTCGATTTCTTGCTAAACAGCGTGACGATCAATATGGTTCGTATCTAAATACAGGGAATTTTTAAAATTTTGTTGGTATTAATGGCCTAAAGAAACTCATCAAGCATTTGGACTATGGACCTTCAAACTTATGCCAAGTATTTATTCGATTGATTAGCTCAACAACTGTTTCTAGGCTCGTTTTTCATCGATTTCGACATTTTGTCGACTTCACGATAATGTGTCAACATATTTGCGTGTTGCAGCCTGTGGACATGAATATTTTCGTTTGTTTGACCATAACACTTGTCTTCATTGTTTTAATCCTTGATTGACAATATATTCATTGGTCTCAGAGTCCTAAACTTAAGGAATATGGATGACTTTGGGACAGAATGATTTTGTTTAATGTTGCTGTTCAGGTATCAAAATTTATGGGCATAATTATATGAACTTAATTGTTTTTACTTCATCTGGCTCACTAGTCACAATTGGGCCCGATATTACCTGGCTACGTGGGAGACGACATTTGCCAGTATGTCCTATCCTATCCTGCTACTATCGGCCTGGCTAAGCGTGAGGTTTCCATTGCCAGAATCCTGGCTATATGTAAGCCAAGAAATTCACCATATACAATTTGCACTGTATCCCAAACAGGCAACATGATAGGCTTCAAGCATGTGTTCTTGATAGCCTCGATCATATAAACAGGTCCCCAGTAGATCCCGAAACTATAATTGAAACATTTTAATCCATAAATTTGTGCATTACCAGAATACCTGTACACAAATGAATATTTTGCACATATTATATAATAATGCAATCCAATATTAAGCCCCCAGTAACCTTAGAAATAGGCCTCCCTTCCAAAAATCAGATTTCCCTTCCAAAAATAAGCTCTCCCTGTTAAGGCTGCCTCGTACCCAGGCGTCTCTTTGTAAAAAAACAGTGATGCGCATATGATGAGTTTACATGAAGTATTGTAGTGGGGAGAGATGGGCGAAGGGGCTAATGGGAAGAGTGCACTTAAACCATACTTGACAGCCCCTTCGCGCGTCGCATGCCTGAATACTTCATGTATAATTATTTAAAGCGCCTGCGTACGAGGCAGTTTCAGGGCTAGTTTGTCATTTGCCTCACAGGAGTCAGGCTAACCTGGCAAGTGTTGGCAAGAAATTTGTGTGAAATGCTGGTTAATTTGTTAATGGCAACAGCTTCAGAAGGCTTATATTAAACAATTTCTTACTTACTTGGGCCAAATTGTGTATTATAACATGATTTTTAGTCGAGTAAGCTGGCCGGTTGGCTATCTTATGACCTTTATTAGTGTGAGACTCCCAATGTAGGATATAAACTTGCTCAAGCAGATGCTGGGCCAATAAATTTAACCAGGCTGTTCCATGTGAATGCAATCTCAAACATATATAAAATTAATATACGAGGCAGTATCTTACCATGAGCAGGTGTATATTTAGCCCATATAAATGGACAAGACCAGCTAGCCCGGTGTGATATTATACTACTGACAATACCTGGTTGATTCTACAAGCTAGATTATGGCCTAAAATGTTCCAATTGTAGTTTCAGGATCTGTTAAGGGTCTGTTGATATGGGACCCTAAAGGCAAGTTCATGTTGACGGGTTGTGGGATAGAATGTTTACTGTAAATGGTGAATTTCTTGGCTTGCATAGTTGGCATTCTGGCAACCGATACCTCGTGCTTAGCCAGGATAGTAGCAGGATAGTATATCGACAATACTGGCAAATGTTGTCTTTTGCCCAGCCAGGTCATAAGAACAGGCCCCATTTGTGACTAGTGGGCCAGATTAAGGATGAAACAAATGAGGGTCCTATGGCTATGCTATGACTATATATGTCCATAAATTTTGATATCAGAACAAAATTTCGATATCTGTCCCAAAGTTATCCATCTTCCTTAAGTTTCGGACTCGGAGACCAATGAATATATTGTCATTCAAGGATTAAAAACAATGAAGACAAGTGTTATGGTCAAACAAACGAAATATCATATTCATGTCCACAGGCTCCAACACGCAATGTTGGGGCCATTCCATTTAATATCCACACCCCCCTGTGGACGAAGTTACTGATTTTGCGGGACCCCTTCGGAAACGGTTTTTGGGAAGACCCCCTCGGAAATTTGCTATTTTTCGCGGAACCCCCTTGGAAATTTTCAATTTTACTCAAGCCCTTCGGAAATACTTGTTGACGAGGTTCCATCACAGAAGACCCCTTCGGAAATTTTGAAATTTTTCATCCCCCTTCGGGAATTTTGTATAATTTTCTTACCCCTCAGAAACAGACCCTGTTGACGAGGTTGCTGATTTTTTACCCCTTAGGAAATTTTCAAATTTTTATAACCCCTTCGGAAATTTTATATAATTTTCTTACCCCCTCAGAAACACTCCCAGATTTTTTACCCCCTCGGAAATTTACGATTTTTCTCAACCCCTCGGAATTTTTCTCAACCCCTCAGTGGGGGCCCTAACCCCATCAGAAATTTTTACATTTGTCTGAACCCCTCGGAAATTTGGATATTTTTCCCAACTCCCTTGGAATTGATGTATCCGGCATACACTATGGGCATACACTGTAGCCTGCGTTGCAGGCGTTTAGTGCGGGCGGAAGAAGAGAGGGCGTCGTCGAGGAAACGCCTGCCGAAATGGCTATGACAAATTTGTTTTTGACCGAAGAAACTTCGGCTTAATTCCCATTGGTTAATCTCGTTGATGGAAGTAATTACATAACTCAAATCGGTCAACTGTCAACAATAATTTTGCCTGTGTATCGAATAGCAGATAGCCGTATATATTTTCATAAAAATATGCCTGTTACCTGTAATGCTTTGGGGAAACTCTCATGGCCGTTCCTAGACGCGATAATTGGGTGGGTGTATATTCATATATTTGTGTTCTGTCCGACGGATTTCATTTGAAAGCGATTGATTTTACGGTATGTGAACATGAATATATGAAATATCCCCCCCCCCCAAGTTACGGCCCTGGAAACTCTCTGATATTGCATGTTTAGACTATTTAGGCTTAGATCGAAATTTAGTTGAAACCAGAACTCTGGAAGTCTATTATTAATTTGCTACGTGGTGAAGACGCCTATTATCGTGCTTCTTCCTACGCCAGAGCCTTTTTTAAGGATTTTCCCGGGGTTCGGGCATTTTTTGAATATATCAGAGGGGGATAGCAATGGCTGAAGGCCACGTGTGGCCGACATACCACACATGAATAAGGGGTCTGTGGGGAAATCTTTGAAATTTGAAGCCCAGAAATGCCATTTCCTCCATATATTCTGAGCAACCAATTTTGCTCTAAAATTATAGGAGGATGCCAATGGCCGAAGGCCTAAAAAATCCCAGAAAAAAACCCTGCTGGTTTGTTTGTATAAATTTAGGAAAAAGGGACTTTTCCTTGCGGGGTGGGGGTGGGGGGGCACAATGTGATTTCGTGGGGGGGGGGTACAAGAGGGGATTGGGGAGGGCATTTGCCCCCTAGCTTGTATGTTAAAAAAGGCCCTGTCCTACGCCTACGGGATACGGAAATGTTTGGTCTTTGGCAATAGTTGCGATTAGCTAAATGTCAGCACCAGCAGTGATTGAATATTTCTGATAGTTGTCTTGTTATTTGTTCACTTTAAAGTATAATTCATTTCAAGACCAGATATGGTTGAGGCTACGTCACTTGGCATTGCAACTATATGAAGTTGGACGATGATTTTTAAGAATACATTTCAAAACATGCTCAACTGGTATTTGCTACGGTAGAATACGTTAAACAATCGTGGTTCACGAGCCTTTTAAAGGTTAGGTCTGTTTCATACGTCGCACTATCGTCGAATTTAATTCAGACGAATTTAATTGAACGAATTAAGTTTTATCCGTTATGTAACCTGAATATCGATCGTGACTAAAACACCACACGAGTACATACGAGTAACATACGAGTAACACAAAGGTACATACGAGTACATACGAGGAACACACGAGTACATACGAGTAACATACGAGTACATACGAGTAACATACGAGTAACACTATCGTCGAATTTAATTCAGACGAATTTAATTGAACGAATTAAGTTTTATCCGTTATGTAACCTGAATATCGATCGTGACTAAAACACCACCACGAGTACATACGAGTAACATACGAGTAACACAAAGGTACATACGAGTACATACGAGGAAAATACGACTAGTAAACTTGTTTTTAGTGTTTGTAGATTGAATACAGGCAAAAAGATCGTCTTCCCTGTCGAAAAACGTGAAATAGACTGAAACCGGCTATCTTTAAAACCCGGAACGGGGAATGGGGGAACGGGGAATGGAGAAACGGGGAATGGGAGAACGGGAAGTGGAGGAACGGGGAACAGAGGGAATGGTGGGGCGAGGGGGAAAGGGAGAAAATAGGAGACAAGGGGCGGGGGAGGTCTGCCAGATTCTATAAACCACAACTTTGTAGTTTGTACAACATCTACTTTTAGGTATTCTACCTAGATAGTTAGATACATGACACAAACCATAGGCTTCACATATTTCACAGCATGGTTTGCTTTCAAAACCCTGTGAGCATGCACAAAACCTAACTCACTAAATGCATCTACTTAAAATAGTACTAGGTGATAAACTTACAATCCTCACATAGCCTCAATCATAACATGTGGCTAGGCAAATATACGAACTACACAGTTAACTTATACCGTGACGACATACGACAGTTCCGAGACCGAAATACAGGACAACAGGGCCTTTTTTAAGGATTTTCCCGTGGGGGGTATTTTTTGAAAAGGGATCTTAGATAATATATTAGAGGGGGATAGCAATGGCCGACGGCCATGTGTGTGGCCGACATACTCCCCCACGGAAAATGTTTTAAATTTGAACCTTTCAAATACCATTTCCTGCTTTATGAGCGTCTAAATTTGCTCTAAAATTTATGCTAATTATACTTGTATTTGAAATAAAAGAAGGAAAAATGCAGATAAAATAAAAGAAATATTAACAATAATTTATCCAATACTTAATAATATTAGAGGGGGATAGCAATGGCCGGGCCATGTGTGTGGCCGACATACTCCCCCACGGAAAATGTTTTAAATTTGAACCTTTCAAATACCATTTCCTGCTTTATGAGCGTCTAAATTTGCCGAATGAATAGGGGGATCTGGAGGCATTAACTCCCCCAGAAAATTTTTGAAATTTCAAGCCCAAAAATGCCATTTCCTGCCGTCTGAGCATCTAAATTTGCTCTAAAATTTATGCTAATTATACTTGTATTTGAAATAAAAGAAGGAAAAAGAAATATTAACAATAATTTATCCAATACTTATCATTAAAGGGGGATAGCAATGGCCGTGGGCCACGTGTGTGGCCGACATACTGCGAATGAATAGGGGGATCTGGAGGCATTAACTCCCCCTGTTAGAAACACGTAGGATGCGCACGCGGTGACACAGTCCTTTAAATCGATTTTGTTAAACAAGGAGAAAGGAGAAAGCCTAAAACTTACGTTCCGTTTATCAATTTGTTATTCTTCGCTGGTTTGTTTGTATAAATTTAAGAAATAGGGACAGCGAGCCTCAGAACATGCATTTTAATTTCCGATCAGCCTGCATCAGAGCAAAGTATCCAAGCTTTCTTGGCGACGTTCTCGTTCCTCCAGACTTTCCTCCCCTTTTCAAGGTGGAGCACGTCCAAAGGCTTGCAGGAGAGTTCGGCTGGGTCCTTTAGAAACGTACTTGCCAACTTAAATTGCTAACTTAAAATCTGCGTATTTTGAAGTATTTTGTGTTTTGTTAGTTTTGCTTTGTAAGATATTTAAAATAGGATAATCACTTTAAGATATCATATGGAGCATAAGGACCGCCTTGGGCTTGCATCTAGTCCTTAAGTTTGTTTTATTATATAGCAAGTATATTAGTAATGACATAAGCAATGTTATTATTATTAATATTACTTAATGATCGGACATAAGCAATGTGGATTGACTTTTTTATGATACGCTGTACTAATAAAGGAAAGCTTCGCTAAATTTCTTTACTAGTTTTAATTCATTGAGCGGTTTTCTAATTCCCAAGACACCAGAGTCCGTTTTATAGTTTCGTAATTCCCCGATTCCCGTTTATCCTGTCGAATTTCTGTTTCTTTTTTCTGTTCTTTTCCCCCCGTACATATGATTAATATTACGTATTAATAATAATTCATAATTCCTCGATCCCCCCCCCGTTACTCGTTCCCCGTTCCCGCATTCCCCGTTCTCCGTTCCCCCATTCCACATTCCTCCATTCCCCCATTGCCCGTTCCACCATTCCACGTTTTTCGACAGAGAAGACGATCTTTTTGCCTGTATTCAATCTACAAACACTAAAAACAAGTTTACTAGTCGTATTTTACTCGTATTCTACTCGTATGTACTCGTATGTTCTTGTGTTTTACTCGTATGTTACTCGTATGTACTCGTGTGTTACTCGTATGTACTCGTGTGTTACTCGTATGTACTCGTATGTTACTCGTATGTACTCGTGTGTTACTCGTATGTAGTCGTATGTACTTGTGTGTTACTCGTATGTTACTCGTATGTACTCGTGTGGTGTTTTAGTCACGATCCCTGAATATCAGGCTCTATTTTACAAATAGAGCCTGACACAAAACTTAACCTGATCGCTTTCCACCCACAGCAAAGTTTATATTTAGTATCCAATCAGAATGTCGCAGGAGAAATTTAAATAAATTTCACACAACGGCAACAACAATCTAATTATAGCATAGCAGCCCACTAAACGGCTGAATTTAAATTAAAACTGCAATGAACTTATAAAATTAACAAAAATAATCACAAATTAGCAAAACATATTGCAAATGTAGCTTATATTAAATCGCCACCCGATTGCTCTCTCCTCCGCAGAGGTTTCAGTGACTACAATGAGCTTTTATACATGGGCGCTTACCGTATTTATCAACAAACTGACATATAATTATAAAGTATATATATATTAAGTATACTTTATAACTATACGTCAGTTAGTCGATAGTGCAATCTGATGGCGATTTAATATAAGGCCTGGTTCAAACGTCGAATTTTGCATGTGTCGAATACAATTCGCATTTCATTCGAGCGAATTCAATGAAATTCGACGTTTGATTCAAACGTCGCATTTTGCATGCATTTAATTCGCCATTGTAAGTGTTGTAGAGTGTAGACACGCCCCTTTGATAGTTTTAATAGATTGACATTTATTTTTAACCTAGTTGTGGTTTTACGTAAACAACAAGAGCGAAGTTTCGCTCAAAAATAAACACAGTATGTCAGTAGGGCCATTTATACGACTATACCAGCGAAATTAGCCGTGGCTCGTCTTATTTAAAGCACGAAAAAATACTATGTAGTCCCGTATAAATGTAGTTGTTCGCGACTTTATTTTCGCTTGTATATAAACTCACATCAGGCTATTGACTATTTTTCACACAAACACACAAAAAAACCCATGAAATTATTACCATTCTATGTCCTACACGCGAAATTTGATCCATTAACACCACATGCCGTCCTTCTTTTACCTCGTTCCAGACTTTTTCCGCGAGCCCCACCCTAGCAGAATTGAATTCGACACATGCAAAATGCGACGTCTGAAACAGGTCGCATTTAGCTCGCACTTAGCTCGCATTATGCGACCGGTTGGGTCGAATTTAAAGTTAAGGTCGACCGCAATTAAAAACGTCGCATTTAATCGTTTCAGACGTCGAATTTTGCATGCACATAATTCAAGCAATTGAATTCGACACATGCGAAATGCGACGTTTGAAACAGGCCTAAGCTACTTTTGCAATATACTTCGCTAATTTGCGAGTATTTTCTAATTTTACTGCAGTTTTAATTTAAATTCAGCCGTTTTAGTGGGCAGGCTATAATTGTAGTTGTGATCGTTTAAATAAAATATATCAACAACAATAGTATAATATCTAATTAGCACCAGCCAATCAAATGACAGATTTAAAAAATCGTTTGTCTAATCGGCCAATCAGACGAAAAAGCCAGAATCTGGCTTTTTACATGCGCCGCGGTAAAGAATTGTATCAGGCCCTCCTTTATTCGCCGCCGCCAATTAATCCTGGCGAATGAAAACAAAAGGGTCTGATACTCAGGTTATCCGTTATGAGGTTATGACTCTACCGGTGAAAGTGCTAATTACAAAACGTCAATCTTTCTTAATGCGGGTGTTTGTATTCCGAGCAGTGCTCTCACTTTTAAGGAATTATCCTTAAAAATAGGAATTTTGAAGAGTTTTAAGGATTTTTTTAAGGAATTTAGGTTTTTGAGGATTTTTTTTAAGGAATTTCCGAAACATTTTATCCTGGACGGAGAATAACCACGCCACGCAAATGAGATTTAAACTTGAAACACACTATATGCACATAATTACATATATTCGTATGTTCTCTATGTCGTATAAAATCTACATATGGCTGTCTTTCCATTAAAATTCTCAAAAGTTAAATGTCAGTGTATGCTATTTCTTCTGAAATCTACAGATTTTCTAAGTTCTCAGGGCCGTAGCGACCGGGGGAGGGAGGGTGCAACACCCCTAATATTGCTCATAAACAATTTCAGGTAGATTTCCTGTAGATTTTCAGGTAAATTCAGGTAATTCTCAGGGCATAAAAAAGTGAACTCTATAATCTGAATTAGAGTTAACAATCAAACAAACTAAGACGTTGAGACTTGTTGTGGCAGGGGGCAATTGCGAAATACCCTTTCTGACGATCTGGAGACTCCAAATTTCCAAAATTTTCTCAATTTCCCATTAAACTGAAAGTAGCAATACTTATCTTCATTGTTAGGCAATACTAGTAAAATATTGGGTAGGAAAGACTCTAAAAATGCCATTTCCGACGGTCTACTGTAGAGACTTCAAATTTTCAAAAAATACGGTTTTAAAAAACGTTCAGTCTGAAAAATTCAGGTAAATCAGGTGAAAAAAACACTTTTTGCAACTATGTGATCAGGCCCTGTAGTAATTTTACCAATTTAAGGAATTTTAAGGAAATCTGAGGAATTTTCGAGCTTTTCCTAAGGAATTCGAAAATTTGATTGTGAGAGCACTGATTCCGAGTAATGAGTAATGAGCAATGAATTTTCGAACTTGACAGTGATTCCACACACTCTTTGCCTTGAATAATTATAATGTTGTGACGATGTCAGCAGTTTAAACTAGTATGATCAAATATGGCCATATAAATTTCGCTCATATATAGCATAACTCGTTTTTTACCCTGCTGCGAGCAAACGAACGACCTTCTATCGACCATGCGCGAAGATCACGTGATGGGAAGTCACTAATTTGATTTCACTTCCTGTAGTCCGTTATCTGTAAACAAGCGTGGTATAGTACTGTTTCATCTGTGGTTTTATTTGTTGTTTGTCAGTTTTAATCCAACGACTTTTTAATTCTACATGCAGTTCACAATTTATGTATCGGTTTTAATCTCGTTATTGCCAGCACTAAAATATTTTGAAATTGGTGCTTCACCGTACAGCAAAGTACAAATTGTGCATTTGAATTTCTGTTATATCTTTTAAAATTTTTGTATTTATCCGACAATATCAATTTTTTTAAATCGGTTTATGATCATGAACTTTGCAAGAAAACAGAAAAAGTATGATCGAATTACAGACATCAGTAAAACAAGATGACACTACTCGTCTCCGTACACGGAAACCGGGGAATCTTAACCTCTCTAATATTTGATGAGTATTCAGTATTGTATTGTAAATGGGGCGGGGGGCGGGAGGGGAATATGTTTTCGGATCGTCGGATTTCACAGAAAAAATTGTTCGTATTTCGGATCTGGCAAATATTTTACACGGATTTGCGGATCTTATTAATACAGCTGATTGCGGATTTATCTAATATTTTGGTTCGGATTGTGGATTTAGCTGGCTATTTAGTTCGGATCTTGGATTGTGACTTCATAGTAGAGCTTTTAGCGGATTCAAATTTAGACAAGACCATTGTCGGATCGCGGATTTTGCTTCAAATTTGGGCGGATCGGCGGATTTGTATACCCCTATTCACTCCCCTTGTGGATGAAAATGAAAGGAATTATTGCAACGGAGAGATGTTGTTTCGCTCAGCTTCTGAAAGTTGTATATCCCGTATCGGATAGGTGCTTTTTCGCGCCGCTACAGAAATCTATCTGGCATAGGGCAAACGCAACCCAACCAAATCACTTATAAATATTCAAATGTACG